AGGAAGACATTATGATCTAACAAGATGATCACAGATAACAAGTCTATAAACATCAACTCCTATCTAAAATGCTTTTTCATTTTTCATTTGAAAGCATAATCAATTTCCTTACTCTTTTCTTTTCATTAATACGAGAATACTTTCTCTAATTCAAACTCACTTACATCATATAAATACCACCCCTGACAAATTGACCATACAATAAAACTATGCGTCTTTCATAGAGAAAAGCCCTAATTCACAACCGCATTCTAACAGCCAAGACCAACGGCTTCAATACACAAAACTCACAACATTTCCCTTCCACTAATTAAAAAGAACCAACATTTATCAAAACCAAGAAAACAAACACTCTTTCATGATGAGTTTTAGTTTCTAGGGTGCAATTCCAATGTCAGGAAAAAACATAGTAAAGCATAGCTAGCAATAGCAATTAGAACTCTTCCGAAAAGAAGGATTAAAATAGGGGGAAATCCAGCAAAACAGTAGCAAACTGAATCAAATACGATTGCAATAATGTGTAATTTCATTCATTCGACATGATTAAGTGATGAAAACATGCAAAACTCACAACTATAGACGAAGAAATCAAGCAACGTAGAGGATCAAATTATACGTGAAATTTATATCTTAAAAAAAGAGAGAAGTAAAACAAATTACATGTAATGAAGTTTGATGCATTGACTTGATTCTGATTCTTAAAAAGATTAGAAAACAATACATCAAGAAACGGAATAATCAAATGAAAATAAAGAGTAATCATACAACCATTACCATACAGCGATGTCGTGCATTTTGTGTTTCCTACTCCAATCTTCCTCTATATCCTCTTTCCTGTTTTATTTTTCTTTACCCCAAATCAAAACCCTCGATTTCAAAACCTACCCAATTCCCCTTCCTTCGATTATTAAGCCAATCCTATTTTTCTGAACCCAAACTCTGCCTTCTGTTCCTAAGGTAAAGTTTCTCTCATTGCTGGGAAAATAAATGAAAGGGAGTGGAGAAGAAATCTTACCAGGAGAATCTCACTGGGAAAACGAAGAATTTTTCGCAGGGGCAATCTCACGGGGAGAAGAAGATATCGCAGATGCAAGCTCACGGGGAAGAGAATGGTATTTTAGCCCTTAAGCACGGGAATAAAAATATACCTAAAACACATGTAGGAATAACATTCCAGGAATAAACACACAAAAATTTACTGTTGATAATGAGATATTACCCTCACTTGGGAATCTTGCCCATCCAAACATGGGCATATAAATCAGGAAAAAAATATTCCTAGGGGGAATGATAAAATCCTTGATCCAAACGGGCCCTTAATGCATTTTGAGTCCTTAAAGGGTCATATTTCTGTACTCAAATTCAATATTGGTATTATCATTTCGATTAATATTATTTCATTACATGTTATTCTTTGGTGTACATATAATAGAAATATATAGTATATTGTATAAAAGCTACATTCAACTTCGATTGTTTCTCTTATAAGAAAACTATTAATTAACCATTGATAAGTTCATATCATCCTACAGAACTCCATAAAACAGCACATTTATCCAATTACAGAAAAAAATTGAAATTCACTGTTGCAAAATGGCCTGAAATACCATAAAACAAAGATTAAAATCTAGCTTCCGTCGCCTATAAATCGAGCAACCGAACCGGGACAATCATATTTTCACAGGTCTTGAACACTCAAACCTGTAAACATGGAAACAATCGAGAACATAAGGTTAAGCCCGATTGTGATGTCACCAGCATGGCAAGAACAAGAGCAACTAGCTACAGATCTGTAATTCGTTCCGAATAAGGATTATATTTGAATCAAAATGAGAAAGAAACAAGACTCTGCCATCATTGTCTCGACCCAAAACCTTGTGATACGGATCTACCATCATGATACCGGTTTGATAGCAATGGGAACAACAGTTTTTTTTTAAATATGGATCTACTACTCTGTGCTATGCTCGCTCATTTCAAGCAAGGATTTTCGCTGAATCAAAGTACGAAAAACAAGGCACCTCTGTCATGATCTCAACTGAGAAGCTCAAGATATTAATAACATGGTAAAAAAGAAACAACTGGATCAATTGTATGAGAAAATGGGAACAATGGTTCGTTTTTGTTAGTCTACAATTCTATAATACATATGTTGATTTCAAATAAGGATGCTGCCATGCTGGTTGAATCAAAACACAAAAAACAAGGTTCCTCCATCATGCTCAAAAGCAGAACCTTCTGATAATTTACCGGTATGTAAGAATAAACAGTAGGGTACAGTAAATTGCATCCTTCTTTTATGGAATCATCAATAACAACAGTTCGGTTAGTCTAAGGATCTATGATTCTATGATATTCTTGTTCAATTCAAATAAGGATGCTTGTTGAATAAAAAAGCAAGGGAAAAAAGGGCACAATTGCATTGTATCAATGTACCTGGAGGAAGAGACTGCTTCAACTTGTCAGCCTTTTCGGCATCCGACACACAAAGTGTGTACAAGTACTTGGAGCAGCGGACCTTGAACTTGACAACATCTTTACTCTTCTAGATCTTCACCGAGCGAGCATCCTTCCTCCTGGCGGTGAGAAGGAAGTCTTTGATCTCATGAATCTGCTTAGGCTGTAAATCATTAAACGGAAAACATTCATTTTAGGAACTTGGAGCATAAACCACAGATAAAAAAAATGCAAGTTAAGCTTTCAATTACATCACATTTATCAATGCAACAAATCAATTACAGTGAACATCCATGGACCGTAACATTTAGAATTACCATAAGCAGATTAGCAACACAAAGAACAATGAACACACAGATTATAGCTTTGATCTCATGAATCTGCTTAGGCAGTAAATCATTAAACGGAAAAATCCATTTTAGGAACTCAAAGCATAAACCGCAGATCAAAAAAGCGAGATAAGCTTTCGATCACATCACATTTATCAATATAACAAATCAATTACAGTGAACATCGATGGACCGCAACATCACTTTAGAATTACAATAAGCAGGTTAGCAACTCAAAGAACAATGATAACACGGATTAAAGCTAAAATATTTGTAAACCACGCACATTTCTTTTCAATTGAGGAGAAAACCAAAAAGATATAAACACCAGAGCATTCAAATGCTGACAAACTGAGTAATGAAGGAAGAACAAGAGCATCAAAATAAGAACAGATTCATAGATTTAAAGATAAAATTTGAAGAGATAAATGGGTTTTACCATTTTCGATTGAAGAGTTGAGAGAGTACTTCGCGTTAACCCAAGCAAGAAACGGCGCTCAAAACGTAGGATTCTTCGATATTTAACTATATATGGTGCTCACGGAAAACCCTAGAGAAAATTTATATTGTATTGACCCTTTTAACCTTGGTAATTGGTTAAATGATATTAGAATTCTTGATAATTGGTAAACGAGTTGAGTCGAGTCGAGATCTAGTATTGATAAACTCGATTTCACTGAAAATGTTTGAAGTTGAATCAAATTTGAAATAAAAAATTGAGGCTGAATTTAAAAGCTCGCGAGTTTAAAATTTTCAAATTTTATTTGAAACAAAAAATTAAAGTTCAGCTCGAGCATGAAAAAACTTGAAATTAAAATATTTTCAAACTCAGCTTAATTGAAGCTCAAATTTGATGTCAAACCTAAATGATGAAACTTTATATTGTAAATTCTTTTATATATTTATATATATTAATATTATTAATAATTTAATTTGAAATTTTAATATATAAATTTTTTGAGTTGCTTAAGAGTTTTCAATTCAAGTATTAAGTAGTTCGTTTTGGCTCAAATTCCTGCTCAAATCGAGTAGAGGATTTAGCACGTAAGAGAAATATCCTTCCCAAGTGATCGTATGGGTTCGATTGCCAGGACTTCCTTATCGTTACTATACAAAGGCTGTGTTTAGACGTATTGCTTCTTTCATTGGGAGGGTTGTTAAGATCGATTACAATACGGATGTTGGGGGACGAGGCAAGTTTGCCGGTTTGGCGGTTATAGTTGACTTGAACACGCCCTTGCTTTCATGTATCCGAATTGACGGTATGATTCAGAAACTAGAATATGAGGGTCTTCAACATGTTTGTTTCGGATGTGGGGTTTATGGACACTCTAAAGAAGATTGTAGGGCTAATGAGGGTGATAAAGAGACTGTGGAAGGCACCGATAATCCTCTGGTGCAGGCTAAGGATGTTCCTCAGGATGTTGTGTCGGAATCTAATTTGTTCGGACCCTGGATGGTCGTTCCGGAGAGAAAGAAAAGAGGAGGGTCATCTCGGTCGAATGTGAAAGAAGCTAACAAACAGGGATCGGGCTCGAGGTTTGCAAGTCTGGATGTGGAAAATGTAAAAATAACTGAGGAGAAGGAAAGTTCGAAAAAGAGTGTGTGACGCATGGCTACTGCTGAGGTAAATCCCACTGTTAAAAATAGTTCTAATGATATCCCAGCTGCTACAGTCACTGCAAAAAATGCAGCTTATAAGGAGTCGAATCCTGACAAGAAAGGTAAGGCGAAGAAGGGAAAGAAGCCAGCTAGAACAGTTCCCATGGGTGAAACCGAGAATATTCAGGTTGTTGAGCATGCCACGTCGATCAAATCTGGTACGCACCGAGCCCTTATTATTATTGAATCGGATGAGGTTTAGTCGTCTAAAATGGCCAAGAGTGTTCAACGGGATAGACGTATAGTTGGAAAGGAAAATGTTGTTCCGAGCAGGAAACAGTTACAAACATGACCGAGACCGCATACCATCAGCAATACCAGTATGCCGCCTGCTGCTGATTTGGTTCGTCTTATTTCGTCGCAGTTAGATTATGCTTTCTCTGGGGATGGTCTGCGAAGCACCCATATATCGGGAGAGTTGGCAGGAGAGTCGTCGTTAGCTCAATCTTCCGATGAAGTGGAATATGCTTTGCCCGATAATCCGATGGATGTGCCTGTGGGTGAGGGCACCATCAATGAGTGTTAAGATCACCTGTTTTCGTCGTTCTGATGATGAGGATCATGCTTTGGAATTGCCAAGGAGCAACAAGCTCGGCTTTTAAAGGTCATTTCTTGAATTTTATTCGTGAATTTCACCCTTCTGTTGTGGCTATGTTCGAAGCGCGAATTAGTGGTTCCAATGCAGACCGGGTTATTAGTTCTCTTGGGTTTGATCGATCTTTCAAAGTGGAAGCTCAGGGATTTCGAAGAGATATCTGGCTCATTTGGAAGGTGAATGTTGAGGTGAACATTATTCATATGTCTAACCAATCTATTAATATGGAGGTTCAGTTCCAATTTACGACTGTTTATGCGAGTCCTTCTAAAGCGAGACGGTCGAATCTTTGGCAGCATATTGGGAATATTAACCTTAGAAACGGAATTCCTTGGCTCATCGGAGGTGATTTTAATGTTATCCTGTCTGCCGATGAGCGTCGTGGTGGAGCCTTAGTTCATAATTGTGGCAGTAAGGCTTTCTCGGAATTTTCTTTTTGCAAATGGTTTGTCTGATTTGGGTTTTCGGGGCCCTCCTTTTACGTGGTCTAGGGGTAATCTTTATCAAGGGCTGGACAGGTGTGTTGGTAATTCTATTTGGACAGCTACTTTCCTTGATGTTCATGTGTTGCATCTTGATAGTTTGGGCTCGGATCACCAACATTCCTTGTCCTTAGTTTCGTTATTGAAAAAACTTAATTTAGAACTGGAGTCTGTTATGGATCAAGAAGAGTCCCTATGGCGTCAGAAAGCTTGTTCGCGATGGATTTTGCAAGGGGATCGGAATACTAAGTTTTTTCATACTTCGGTGGTGAGGCGAAGGTGTGCTAATCGTATTTCCGCTCTCAAGAGAAATGATGGGAGTTGGTGAACCGATTCGGATGTGTGGCCATTGATTTCTTCAAGAATATCTTCACCAGTTCAGTGGGTGGACATCATCACATCAATCGTACCATATCCGTGGTTTATTTCGCCGGTTGACTCCGATGGATTGTGGAAGATGTACACTCCCAATTTCTAATATTGAAATCCGACGGGCTCTATTTGGTATGGGAGCTTCCAAGGCCCCGGGGGTGGATGGTTTGAATGCTGGTTTCTATCAGCGTAATTGGCCACTGTGGGTGCTTCTGTTTGCGAGTTTGTTAGGAATGTTTTTAACACCGATGAAATCCCGAGTCATATAAATCAGACGTTAATTGTCCTTATTCCGAAAGTTCCGCTGCCTGAGTCAATGAGTCAGTTTTGTCCAATCAGTCTCTGCACTATCATTTACAAAGTTATCTCCAGAATTTTGGTAAATCGCCTAAAGCCTTACCTTCCTTGTTGGGTTTGTGAAAATAAATCTAGCTGTGTCGGGTCGCTCGATAATGGATAATATCTTTCTGACTCAAGAAATTATCCACTCAATGCGAAAGAAGACAGGGAAGAAGGGTTGGATGGCTCTGAAAATTGATTTGGAGAAAGCGTACGATCGTCTAGAGTGAGATTTCATCATAGATATAGTGATTGATATCGGAATTCTTGGATCTTTGCGCAAACTAATTATGCAGTATGTCACTACAGTTTCTTCTCGACTCCTTGGAATGGAAATATGGCTGAGCATTTTACTCCAATCCGGGGATTCGTCAAGGAGATCCTTTATCCCCTACATATTTGTACTTTGTATGGAGCGTCTTCCTCAATCAATTAGTGCGGAAGTGGAGGGGATGCTTTGAAACCCTTCAAAACTTTTTCTCGTGGTCCAGATATTTCTCATTTTTTGCGGATGACATGCTTTTATTCACTGAGGCTTCGATGAATCAATTGCAGGTTATTCAGCCGGTCCTTTCTGAATTTTGTGGGGCTTCCGATCGTAAAGTTAGTGTGGCCAAGACTATGACATTCTTTTCCAGGAATGTTCCTAGTAGTCTTCGTAATTCGATCATAAAGTTAGTGTGGCCAAGACTACGACAATCTTTCCAGGAATGTTCCCAGTAGTCTTCGTAATTCGATCAGTGGTGGATTTGGGTTTGGTGAGGTGAGTGACCTTGGAAAATATCTTGACGTTTCGGTTTTTCATAAAAGGGTCACTATAGCCTCCTATCATTATCTTGTTCAGAATGTTGAAAGGAAGCTTAGTGGATGGAAAGCTAGGTGCTTACCCTTGACAGGAAGAATTTTATTAGCTAAAACGGTTTTTCTGCGATCCCAACCTATACTTTGCAGACTGCGGTTCTTCCTAAAGCAACTTGCTCGGCTATTGAGAGACTTATTCGTCGTTTTGTTTGGGGTATAGCTTCAACGAGAGGTGGGGTTCATTTGTTAAATGGGTCGATATGTGTAAGCCTATCGCTGCGGGAGGCATGGGATTACGTAAGTTGGAATTTGTGAATGATGATTTTCTAATGAAGTTAGCGTTTCAGATTCTGGCTTGTAGGGATACTCTTTGGGTGCGGTTTGTTCAGACGAAGTACAAGTGTGGGGATGGAGTTCCCGAGGTATTATGGAGCACCAATTGTTCTCGTCTTTGGAAGAGTATGAGCATTGTTTGGGATATTGTTCATAATAATTTGATTCGATCCATTGGCTCGGGTACGGAGACTGATTTTTGGTACGACCATTGGATCGAGGATGTCGGTCCCCTTATTGAGTATGTTGATCCTGGGATGGTTTCGTCCATCCAGTGCGCGACGGTTGCTTCGATGGCCGGTAGCCGAGGAGAGTGGCATTGCAGTTGTTTGACTCGTTACTGCCCAGAGATATCTTGCTGCGTATTGCAGCAATAAAGGCGCTTGATGCACGCTTGTCTATCGATCCAATCGGGTGGCGTGGATCTAAAGATCGCTCATTCTCCTTGAAGTCTGCGTATTTGATTCGGTATAGGCCTGGCCATCAAATCCCTGTTTGGTCCTCCATTCATAAGTTCCGGGGATTACCGAAGGTCAAAGTTTGTCTATGGCTCATGTGTTGCTGTAAGCTTATGACCAACGAGGAACGGTGTAAACGGAGTTTTACGATGGACAGTAGCTGCGGGATTTGCGGTGCAATGATGGAAGATATAGAACACGTGTTTAAATTGTGTCCGGCTGCTATTCAAGCTTGTCTGCTCTTGTAATGAGTTCTATGCTTTGGATTTGCATGAGTGGATTAATGCCAATTTGAATGGTGCTACTTGGCCAGCAAAAATTATTGAGAATTGGGACCTTTTATTTGCTTATGTGATTTGGTATATTTGGATTGGTTACTTCCTTTGTGAACGAAGGATTATTTAGACTGATTCATTGTATTATATTAGTATGAGTACTCTTTTCCTCCATTTAAGACATTTAAGATTAGAGATGCTTTTAACGAGTCTCGTATTAATATGTGTAACCGTTTATAGTCGTACATTTGACCCCAAAAAATCGTGAGAAAAATTATCGCAAGCATGAATATAATTGGAGAAAAGACATCTAAGAAAGTTTACATTCAAACATTTTTTTTTAAATAAACACTATATTTATATATAATAAAAAAAGAAAATAAACGAAATAAGAAATAAAATTAAATTCGGCACTAGTAGATGTTGTGGTATTTATAATTTAAGGATTATCAATTTTGGCGTTTAACAAATGTCGAATATTTTTTTGTGTCAAATTTAATATTTAGATTCACTAATAAGTACTAATAAAAAAATCACTCTAAGTATCAATTTAAATAAAAATATTATGATTTAAATATTTATTAAAATAAAAAATTAAAGTACCAAAGTAAATATTAAGACCGACGTCATATATTTAAATTAGACTAAAAAGATTTAGATATTAAATAGAATATTAAAGCTAAAATATATATGAAAACCTTTTGGATAAAACCTTAATATATTAAGACCGACATCAATTATGAATATTTATTTAAGCTAAAATATTAAGGTTAAAAGATTTAATTAAGATCGACGTCAAATATTAATATATTTAAAGGAAAATTCTACGACGCTAGACGAATATTGATGAACACTACTAACGATGAAGATCATTAATTTAATTTACAAAACTTTAAAATTATAAAGTAATCAACTTGTAATTATAAAGTATTGCGATTTTCGCGTTGCGATTTTAAGTTTCAAAAACTATTCTTCTGCAAATTGAAACTTGAATAAATTGCATTTCTTCAACAAAAAGACAAAACAAAGACAAATACTAACTTCACAGGGTTAAAGACTAAACAATTTAGCAGTATTGACAGCAACCGAATGAATTTACTAAGCAATCTCAGTGAAATGGTTAATCTTTATATATATTGAAATTACCAGTAAATTTATCATCAATATAAGAAAAATCTAATAATAATACAAAAATTTCAAAATAAAAATAAGAGATTAAAAAACTAACCCTCGGTGGTTGATTTTCTATTTTTGACCGTGAATGGTTGTGAGGGTTGCTCTGAGAGATGGAGATAGACAGATTTCGCCGGAGATGGGGATGGATTTCGTCGGAGATGGGGACGGATGTCGCCGTAGAGAGTGAGAGATGGAGATGGGACTGAGTTGTGATTTAGGGTTTTAGGTTATGATTTACGATAATATTGTTTACATTTGTGTTGCGAAATTAATATTGTGTTTCGCGTTGCGAATTTGACTATCGCGTTGCGAATTTGACTTATGTGTTGCGATTTACAGATTCACGTTACGAATTTGGAAAATCACAACTCGAATTTGGAAAATCGCAATGCGATTTACATATTCGCGTTGCGAAATTGGAAATTGGGTTGCGAAATTGGAGTTCGCGTTGCGAATTTGTTGGTAATTTTGGCAAATCCAAAAAAAGTTGGTTAAAATCGTATATTATAAGACATTTTCAGTCACTGAGATTATTTTCTCTATTTTTTTTTATCTTATTTCAAATAATAATTAAATCAAATATTAACCCATAAATGAAAAAAAACTTTAAATTCTTTTTTCTTGCTTTGATGCGGTGACGATGACGACAATAGCAGCAACAATGACAGTGATGTCAGTGATAACGACGACAACAATAACAGTGACAACGGCGATGACAACATCAGTGGAGGTGGTGACGATAACAATATCAATAACATCAGTAGCAGCGATGGCAGTAGCAACGATGATAACAATAACGATAATGACAGTAGCGATAGTGCCAACAACAACAACGGTGATAACAACAACAACAATAGCGATATCAATAATAGAAATAAAAGTAACGGCAACAACAACTGCGACGAAGGCAGTAGTGGTGGTGACAACAATGACAGTGGCAACGACAACGACGACGATAATAGTGACAGAGATGATGATGACTTCAAAGCAAGAAAATAATTTAGGGTTTTTTTTTAATTTAGGAGTTAATATTTGATCTAATTATTATTAAAAATAATATTATAAAAAATAATGTAATTAATATTTTATTTTAAATAATTTACGTTTAGATTTTTAACTAATTTATAATTATACGTTGAGTGTTTTATAATTTTAAAATTTTATAAATTAAATTAATGGTGCTCATCGGTGCTCGTCGAGCATGAAAGAATCATCCATATTTAAGTTAAATTAGATTAAATGACACATCTATGCTTAAAACCTTTTGGATAAAATTTAAAAATATTGTTACAAAAAATTAAAAGTATATTAAATTGATTATTGTTGGGTAAAATTAAATATTTTATTATTCAACCCATAATACATGAAAAATATTTTTTTTACAATTTATGTCGACACGTCATATCCAATTTATATAGATTATTAATGGCATATTTTGAATTAGGTCAAACCTTGGCATGCTATTATTATTAATTAATAATATAAATTATTTTAAATATAGCAACTTATAAAAATATAATGATGATAATAATAATAATAATATATTTTGAATAGTATAATAATATATATTAGAT